TTGAACATTACTTAAAACATTAGAATTCCCTTATACACATTTAAATCTTTACCAATAACAAATTCCATCCACAATAAACACATTCCTTATCAATCTCTCTTGAATTCCCTTATACACATTTAAATCTTTACCAATAACAAATTCCATCCACAATAAACACATTCCTTATCAGTCTCTCTTGTCCATAAACCTCAAAAGAAGTGCTTTGAAAACTGCCCTTAAAGCTAACTCCAAAAAGTTTGTAAATCTTGCTTCTCCCACAGACTCAGTACTCTTTTGAATACTTAAACTAAGTACTTAAACTTAAACTTCTTATCTAGAATTTTCATTCGATCTCCATCCTTGTCAGTCTCTCTTATCCATAAATCTCGAAAGAAGTGCTTTGAAATCTGCCCTTAAAGGTAGCTCCAAAAAGTTTATAAATCCTGCTTCTCCCACAGACTCAGGAGCCAATACTTGTGAGGCTTCCTTAAACTCCTTCTTCTGTTGCTCTTTTTCTTTACGATTATATGTTGCACGAGTTGTCCTCTGCTCCTTCATCTCGACTTGTTGAGGCCCCTCAAACTGAGATTTCCCATTTTTCATTAATATAGGCTCTTCAGACTGCAATTCTACCCTTAAAGGTTGCTCCAAAAAATTTATAAATCCTACTTCTCCCGCAGATTCAGAAACCAATAGTTGTGAGGCTTCCTTAACCTTCTTCTGTTGCTCCTTTTCTTTACAGTTATATGTTGCACAGGTTATCCTCTGCTCCTCCATCTCAACTTGTTGAGGCCCCTCAAACTGAGGTTTCCCAATTTTCATAAGTATAGGCTCTTCAGACTGCAATTCTACCTTCTTTTCTTCCAAAGCTTTAAACTTAATAGATGGCGATGAACATACCCCCAGGACCGAAGTATAAAAGTCTTTTGCTTGAGAAACAGTATTAAGTCTATAACATATCCCCAGGTAATTCACCACCATTCCAATCGGAACATCCCATCTGAACAAGATTCGTCTCTTTTTAAGTTCATCTGCTAAAAAAGCAAACTCCTTTCTTCTTCTTAAAATTTTAGATGGGATCTCCTTTAGAATTATAACATCTTGTGAAGCAATTTGAAATCTCTTCTTATAAAAAGCTTGTATAATTTCGTTGCGCAGGGATCTTTTCCCAAAGTAAATTACCACATCTCTTGGCAAATTCTTTTGCACTGCCACCACAGAGTTAACTCTAAATAATTTTTCAATTTCACTAAGTATTTCCTCTTTTTCTTTATTCAAAATCACAGCAAAGTCCTTTGCAACCATCTCTCTCAGATCTCCTTGCACAGACTCTCCCAAACCTCTGATTCTTAAGGCATATTCCATTTGTCTATATTGAAGCATAAGAATCTCATTTTCCATTTCTTTTTCCATGCTTTCAAATTTTCCCTCCATCAATTCCACTTTTTTTATTACCTCTTCTACACGAGAGTTCAGCTTTTCAAGAACAGAGGCAACTCCTTTTAGAGCCAAAACTATCTCTTGCCTCAAAATCTTATTATTTTCCTCTAAAATCTCTTTCATTTCTGCCCTAATTTGAGATATAACATTTCCCATCATATCTTGCAAATCCTTCACAATTATTGGCTGTACCAAGGAAGAGGGTGAAGCTATTGATTTAGGTTGTTGCACTGATGATAACACCGAAGAAGAAACCACCTTAGGAGCTGTAGGAATTACTGGACGCTTTGGAGCCATCTTAAAAAAAATCTTTACTCCTTCTTAAAAATTACAAAAATTAAGCAAAAGAAAAAGAGAGATTAAGTCCAAAAAAATTCAAAAAATCCTTCAAAAGGAGATCATTATAACAAAAAAATACTGAACGCTTTGGAGCCATCTTAGAAAAATCTTTACTCCTTCTTAAAAGTTACAAAAATTAAACAAAAGAAAAAGAGAGATTAACTCCAAAAAATCAAAAAATCCTTCAAAAGGAGATCATTATAATAAAAAGAAAGGAGTTAAAAAAAGAAAAGGGAAGAAGAAAAAAATAATTAAATAGAAAAAATCCATTCCATTTTTTTAAAAGTACAAAAAGCAAAACAAAGAAGTTAAACAAAAATAATAATGCTTCTAAAATCCAAACCCAACATCAAAATCAAATCCACATTCCGTTCCAATCATTAAAAAAAAAAGGAAAAGGATAAAAAAAACACCAAAAAGCCTGCCGATCACCATTCTACCTTCCCAAAAAAAAAAAAAACCCCCGAAAGGCTTGCCGATCGCCATTTTACTTTCCCTTTCAACAAAAGGAAAAAAATAAAAAGAGGGAATATAAAAGTAAAAGTAAATCTTTAAACTTAAAATCCAAATAAAATCAAAGAAAGCAAAAGCTAAATCCTCTACTCAGCTCTGTCCGCCTCTAAAAAAAACTCACCAGATCACTTTAATCGCGGAGGTGGTTGCAGCGGCTTGTTTTGTCCCTAGGGACAAAAGCAGCTGGGAAGCGGAGACAGTCTGAACTCCGTGGGAGCACTCCTCTCACCCCCCCAAAAAAAGCCTTGGGGGTGCATGAGAGTGGCTCTACCACTATTCAGACAACCCTCTTCCCCCCCCTTTGCCCGGGAGGGGGATTTTGAACCGCTGAACAGCTGATGGCCGCTGTTCATAGCGATTCAAACACTTACCCAGGAGGACGGCTACAAAGTAGCCGCCATCGCGCGCGCAGATCCACCGGAAGTCGCGTGACGGTAATATTGGCATGGGTTTGTGTTATCCACGTGCCAAGAAAGAGCAAGCATATTTCTAGCCCTTTTGAATGTAATTCCATTTCCTCCTCAGCCGCTGTTGCTGATTTTAGAAAAGTTTAAAAAAAACACTTTTCCAGTTAACAACACAACTGGAAAAGATTGGGGAAAATGGACTGCAGAGCAGGTTTAAGTTAATAATTTAAGAAAAATGTGAGGATTTCCTGCTTTTTTAAAATGTTCATATCCATTTTCCTTCTTATCTGTACGCAAATAAGACAGGTATGGTGGCTGATCAAAAAATGTTGTGCTCTTATTCACCTTCATAATGTTCTCAGTTATAAAATATATTGCCTCTACTCCATGCATACAACCTAATCAAAGACAGCAGGGAAATCTGCAGTTCAAAATTACTTTTTTTTCTTAATAATTCACCCTAACTGAACAGCGAAATTCAACTCTTCCTGTTATTCTCTTGTGTATTACCTCCTAGCCTCAGTTTAATTGTCCAAATTAAATTAAGTCCATAGTCACAAAACCCCACCAATCCTGCAAAGATATTGATACTTTGCAAACAGCTCACAGCCTGCATAATGTTTTAATGCACAATTAATTTAATAGCTCTCCCCTGAAGAAATTAGAAACCAGCATTGCCGTTCAAGCAGCCATAATATCTCAATTATAAACAAGGCAAAGCTGATAAAATGGTAGATGGAGGTGGCAGTTTCATTCAGTCATGGTTTAATGGGGCTCATAAATACTGTAATAAAGTCAATGTGTCTGGCTTTTATGTAAATTGCTACCCAGGCTCTTTTCTGCCTTTAGCTTGAATTACATAACACTTTTTATAAGTATGCTAGATTATTCTGCAAGGGCATGTGGGAAATACCATGTGGTTAATACTGCCCATGTCCCCCATTAAATATTAAGAATTAAGTATGTCATCTGTCCAAGGAAATTTCCTATAGAGATTTGCAAATTGTTTTTCCTGGCTCATAACAATTTCTCAGTTGGTCCAGGGCAAGGGTAGGGTAGAAAGACTTGCGCTGCAGCTGCAATATATTCATTTTTGCCATGTATAAAATCTGTGACATTTCTGCTTCTTACTACATTTGTCTCCCTGTCAGAATATCACAATATGATTACACTTCTATATGCTCCTGCGTTGCTATCATGCAAAACTGTAACCAAGTGTCAGAATTTTGGATGTAAAGCAAAATGATCCAAAATTTGGCTCCACACAATTCATAAAAGTTCACTCATAACAATAAAAACCTGCTTATTTAGCAGTCTGGAAAAACAGTCTAATCTTCTTTATTTCTTTCAATTAATCTCAGCCTGATTTGGGGATATTGAAATGAATGAAAAAGCATCTGTTTGCCTAGAACCCCACATATTTTTAAGAGTTTTGACCGAAAGAACGTGTGTTACAGCAATGACTATTTGTTTGAGATTATGGCAAAAAGAACACTTAAGAAATATAAGCTCTTTATAAATGTCAACTGAAGCCCAACATAGCATTCAGCATGCTGAAGCCTATTCAGATCATGATTCTTAAGCTTAAATCTTAAAATATACAGTTGGGAAATATATGCCTGAGGAAATAGCCTCATTAGCAATTTTTAGAAAACCATTGCAGCCAATGTATGTCTATTAGAATTAATGTTTCCAGAGTTGTTGCTTCATTTAAATTGGTTGCCCTTTTGTATCAGCAGGGCAAGTTCACAAACCAATCCAAAACTATGAAAAGTAAAACTTTTTTGGTTTTAGTAATTTTATCTTAATTTTATTTTTTTTATATTATGTTCCTGTAAATCGAGTTTATTTCTTCAAATTTATATGTCCTCTGTAGCAGGCCTTTCTCTTTCCTTTTCTTTTTTCTTATTTCCTTCTGAGAGAGAGGGAGAGAGAGGGAGAAGCAGGGAAAGAGAGAATATTCATGAGTGCACAGCAGTATTTCTTCTATATCAAAATAACTCTTCCTTGCCTCTTCCAAGTCCTCTCTGAATCATAACGACTAAAAGTTGACGGCACTTTGTTCTGCCATTTTGGATATAAAATATCATTCTAAAAACAGATCCACTAACCTTTAAAAAGACAAAAGTAGTGCATTCTCAATTCAATCCACGTTCCATCATTCTTCATCTACGTCATCTTTATTCCAAAGCACAATAACAAGAACCACATCATGTTCATCATCTTGAGCAAAGGTCAAAGCAACATTAAGCAAATGGCCCTGCAGCCCTTACAGTACCTTCTCAAACAATACTTGAGGAAGAAGAAAATAGTCTGTGATAGAAACATATGGATTTTAATTCAAAAGGTTTAAAAACTGGTTGAGCAGTTGAAGAACTAACATCCCATTACTTCAAGACAAAGCTTAATCAAGTACAATTTAAGAAATGCTGTTGATTTTATGGTATCTTTTGGTTGTAACCTGCATCCAAAGAAAACCCCAATGTATAAAACAAGTGAAATTATGTTCTGTTAAAGCCTTATTCCCATCAATGAAAAAAATAAGAACATCAGGATATTGATTTCAATGTATTGGATAACCTAAAGGCAAAATAGGTGTGTGGTTATGCACATGGGTGTATATATTCTTTGAACTGAATCCATTTTTAATACTCATATATAATCCAGATTTAACAGATGTACTTAATACCTATCCATGCTTATAGATTATGTTTGCATATAGTGAGAAATTCTTAGTATATTGTTTTGTATAAAGTTTCTGTGTTTCATGGTTTATGAACGTGTCATGCATATCTGAACAACTGGATCTAAAACTGATTAAAACATAATTAGACTAAACAAGGATACCATATCATTTTAATAGGTTGTATCAGAAAAGTGTTTTTACAATTATGAAGACAGTAATCAAAAGAAGAAAAGATAGATATTATACAGATGCACCTAGGTGCCATTAATAATGGACTTTAGGCATGTTTAAAATACTAACATTTCTCAGAAAAGAATGTATGCCAATTAAATATAGATGAAAGATTCAGATGTGCATCTGAATCAATTTGCTGGTTTCCAGCATTTTCTCACCTTCATTAATGATGATTTGAAAACCTATCTGCTGCAAGTAACATACTCTTTCTTAGACCACATATATGGTGAGTCAGGTAGGTCTGTATAAATTATCATAAATATTGTGTGACACAACACTGTGTTCCTTAAATATATATGATATTTTCTACTTGTATACCTCCAGAAATATACCTACAACTTAGAATAGCTTACATGAAAATTCATGATTGCTGCTTTTATGAAATCCAGGCATGACAAATAATTTTATGATGCATTAACTTGTCGCAAGAAGTTTCCAAAAATAATTTTCAACAGAAAATCTTTTGACAACTCAACAGACACTGAACCAAATATATGCATTCGAAGGGAAGGCATTTGTCCAAATATGAAGCCCATGAGTTATCTTTGCACATGGCGCTCATGTGACTCACTAGAAATTTAGGAGGTTTTTTTTTTTTGCTATTATTCTAGAAGCAGGACAACCAAATATGGAAGCAATTCATGCCTCTGTGAGTTACATTTTACTTTTTCAAAAGCCATTATTCAAATCTCTTTCAGTTCATTGCTATTAGAAGTAGCAACCCATATCTTTATTGGGGATTTGCTCCATCTAGAAAACAGTTAACAGTCTGCCTATTGAAAGAAGAGTCTAATGTAGATGATGTGTATCAGAACTGAATCATAACACTTTGTCTTGAATTGCCTACATATTATAACACAAACATGACATTCCTAGCTGAGCCTATATCTTATTCACTCCAATAGAAGCCCATTAAGTGGAATTGACTAGATCCATTGGAAAGTTAGGGAAGATAGTAATCAAAAAAGTATACATTCTTATTTAATTAAATAATTTGTATGCATAGCTTTAGAAAATATAAAAATGCATATAGTTTTCATATAGCATGATCAAGGCGTAATTTAAATAATGTGTTATTTAATACTGTCAGCATAATTCAGGAATAACATAGAAGTATTTGGTCAGAATCTATAAAAGCATTTCTAAGAGAAAGAAAATATTAAGTTTTTGTAACATATTCTTAATTCACCATAATGAATTTTGTGGACTTCAGTTTTCAACTCTGTTAAAGAGGACAAAACACTTATTTTTGCAGCGTGATAGTTGATTATCAGATATGCAAATCCACTGACATTGACTACCGCTAGTTTAATTCAGATTTGCATGTCATCTTTTCTGCATTGTAGTGTGTAGTGATAAATCTGTGATCTCTGGAGCTTCTATAGAACTGTACATGTGAAAACACTTTAAAAATCTGTTTCAGTTTATAAACATGTAGCTTTTGTTATTGTTTTATTTGATATATAAATTTAAAATGATTTTTTTTTCTTTTAATGACCCTGTAATCCCTTGCATCGGGGTGGAGTCGGGGCTACTAAATGGAGCTTGAGCATTTACTGACCAGATGCCCTTCCTGATGCCTATGCAGAGTTCGCAGCAGACAATAACTCATTGCACCCAGAGAGAGAAATATCTGCCACTACGTAGTTTGAACTCACAGTCTCCTGATTGTGAGGCGAGAGCTCCACCTCTACACCACGTCTTCATAAACTAAAGTTGATTACAAGTAGTATATTACTATTATTATTACAACTCTAACTCCAAAGGAAATCATTAGTGGTATTTGTAGAGGGGTTCATTTATCATTTTTACAGCTTTATGTTTGATAATCTTGTAATATGATAATATTGAAACTAACAGCTTTTACTTTTTTAAAAGTCTTAAAATATATATTCATTATTTGTCCAACTGAAAAAAATACATTGAGAATATTAGTTTTTCTTATTTAAAATACCATCATTTTGATCAGAGAAACGTAATTTCCATATTGACATTCTACATGCCATATTTTAGAAAGCTATATGATTAGAAGAAAAAAATTCTTGCCAATAGCTGGAGTAGGTGTAAGACAGAGCTGGATGCATCATAGCAAAACCACACCCACCCCATTGCTGGCAATGGAAAAAAAGTTGCAATACGTCGCAACACATGACGTGATGTTGCAAGTTTGACACTCTGGTCTAAGATATTTTTGTTTCAATGGCTGTAATGGAATGCATTAAAAGCCATCAATTTACTTTTACAGTGCTTCTTTACAAAGTACTATGCCTTAATAAACATTATTTCTGTCAAAAATATATCTATAACTGATTTAGTCTGAATGTTGCAAATTTTTAATAATTGCAAAATTTCAATGACTTTAACTCTTAAATATCCTGCAATCTTATCCAAGAATGCCCCTGTGAACTAATGAGACTTTAATAAATTTTAGAAATAAATACATGTAATTAAATGGGTGAGAGGATGGATGAATAGCTTTTAGGGTGCCTTATTATTGGTATATAGTGAAAAATACAAGAAGAAATCACATATTAATAGGAAGTAATTTCAGATGTGGAGTAAGTTGAAATTAAGTTAAATTACTTTGTGATATATTGGCCACCTCTTCTGTTTCTATCAGTTGAAGATCTACTCATTTTGAGGCAATGAAAAAGAGGATTTTCGATGGCAGTCCCCACCACCTGGATAGTTTTTTGGGGAGATTAACATCTGGATGCAAGGGGAAACCTCTTAAATTTTCCATTTTTTGCAAATAAGAATTAAAAGGTCAAAATTCTAAGCCATCCCAAACTCTCTTTGGATTTTCTACTGCACTCTACTGCATTCTACTGCATTTTTGTTGTCTTGGATTTTTTTTCTCTATGCTATACTGTGCAAGACGGACATTTGATAAATCTGAAATTGACCTGTTTTGCAACCCTCCTACTATGTTCAGGAAAGTCATTCTGCATTTCTTTGCTTATGAACCCCAAAATCTATTTTATTTCTTAATAGTGACTGAATAAGAGAGGAAAAATTTCTATCTGCCAAACTTTCCTTGACTATATTAAAAAAAAAATCCATCAAGGCCAAGTTGTGCTACTGATATCAGTCATGAATGCTTTTCTTTTCAGAAAACGACTGCTGAGTCTAATTCTCCTGAATCTGGTAATACTTATATTATACAGTTTTTTGCAATTATGCAAAATATTCTACTATTTTAGTTTTGAAAGGCAGGACAATTGCTGGGTGTTATATATTGGACTACCAGCCTGTCTTGCTGGTTTAACTGTAACATGCGCAAATACTATTTCATCTTACAACTAGAGTTTGCAAATATACAACATACATAAATACATTAATAATCATAATACATATTTATACAGAACACAGCACTATCCATATTAAAGGTTGCAGTGCTACTCTTTAACTGTCTTTTGTAATAAAATAATGGGATAAATGTTATTATACACACAGAGAAACACAAAACGCTCTTCTTTAAAAACTGATGCACTACAATAACAGCTGCATCTTTAGCTTGTGACACAAAATGAGCCATGCTCATCCAACAGAAAACACAAAGAAGACATGAATTCAATTGTTGACTCTTTTTGATGATGTTTAGGCAGTCTTTTTTTCATAAAGGACATGTATTTATCCTCCATTCAGAACCTCTTAAAGCACAGACAATGTTAATGGCTTCTTCAACATCTGTTTAAACTTTCTTTACTATTACAGAAAATTTGAATTATTTATCTGGAGATCCACTGTGATTTCACAAAGACAAAGGAGAAGTTATCAATCATCCACATGTCTCAAATAATAGGTATGGACAACAAAAGTCTGTTCTCTTCGGCCATCTGTACCACTAATGGACCCGAGAACATCGGCCTTTTCTCAAACTTATATCATCCAGCCCAATTTCCCCAGTTCTTCCTTTTCCTTTTTCTCCTTTAAAAATAACCTGAGAGGAGAAAAAAAAATAAAGACATATGAGATTGATTGGATTCATGTATCACATTAAGCTATTGCTTGCTTAATAAGTAACAATGACTTTAGCTATACATAACACCAAGCTATGAACCATAATGGTTAAGACGTTAGATGGTTTAATTTTTATGGTGTTCATCATAGAAAAAGGTGCTCTGCAGATTCTATTTTGATAATTAACATTAAGCAATCAAGACACTCATTGAGGAAATTGTAACACATATAGAGAGATTAATAGAAGGAAATGTAACTCTATTGAATATACTAAATATAAATAATATTGTGATCTCTCTTTCTTTCTGTTTATTTTTTTCCCCTTAGATCCCAGATTTGTACTCACACTTTTGATGCCAGGTCCTTTCAATGTTATATGCGTTTGACTCCAACCATGACCTCTATTCCTTCCCCAAATTGCTGGCCCATGAATACCAGTCTTTCTTAGAAAGACTTGAAGCAAACCGGAGTGTAACCCAGATACTTTATGCCTAAAGGATAAGCACAGATCTTCGGAGCGAGCTAAATGGCCAAGTGGAAGAACCAAGCGGGCAAATCGACCTGCCTTCCCTTTCGGTTGAGAAATAGATAAATATTGTCCACCTGTTTAAGACAAAGTGGGAGAAGAAAACAAATTATTTCAACATGTCTTTGAAAAAGAACATGATAATAAAGAATTAAATTTATGGCTGCAACAAAAGACTAATACTGACCACCCAGCTGTAGCACTGCAAGTAATGTGAGGGCAGCACTGATATGACTGATTTTAAATTATTTATACATTTCCAGCATATGGTCTACCCTGAAGGCTAGATAGATAGATAGATAGATAGATAGATAGATAGATAGATAGATAGATAGATAGATAGATAGATAGATAGATATGTGTGTGTGTGTGTGTGTATGTGTATATGTGTATATATATGTATATGTATATTTATGTATATATGAGTGGTATCATCTGCATTTTTCTATAATGTTGCAGAAAATATTCTATCCAATTCAGAAAGTATTGTTATCTTCAAGCTGTAATAACTGAATGTTGGGTCTTGAGAAACATTTTTTTTTGCAAAAAAAATATTTTCTCATCAATATTCTTTAATTATATTTGATCCTGATGGTTTTCCATTGGTGAAAGGTCACTTTGGGAATCATATTACCCAAACGAAACTTGGGCTTCAACTAAAGAATTGACACCAAATAATCTGGACTTATTAAATGTCTGTACATCATTTATCCTAAAAGAGAAGATAAAAGCTTTTCATTTGAAACTGTAATCTTAAAATATTTACTGCCTGGAACAATTCATGTTTCTGAGGAACTGAGAGTTCAGTAAATTTTCTACTTTCTCTTTTGGATATGTGCAGGTTTATATCCATAGATTTCAGGTAATTTTAAATATGTCCATTTATGCAACCATCATCCCAATTTCTGTAAACATAGTATCTAGAGCCATAATTCCAGAAATATACCTAACATTTGCCATTAGTTAATCATCCATGTACTTCTTCATGACAGGATAAATAATATGTTGTGCAAAAGCTCAACTGTTAGAGGAGAACTGGAAGACAGGAATGAGTCAAAAAGGTAGTAATTTATTTCAGTAATGTTTTCATGAGAATTCAAAAGTCTACTAAAGTTGCCATGTCACATAAATATGCTATCAATATTTTTTTTATATATATATATATTTGTTTTCTGAGGTTTTCGCGGGTATTTGTATGTAGGTCTTTGGTTGTTCGGGTTTTCTCCCGCGTAAAATTGGAAGTGTCTTGGCGACGTTTCGACGAAGTCCCATTCGTCATCTTCAGGCTGGTGTTTTCAGCTTCGTGCTTTGAGCAGCAAAGCACGAAGCTGCTCAAAGCACGAAGCTGAAAACACCAGCCTGAAGATGATGAATGGGACTTTGTCGAAACGTCGCCAAGACACTTCCAATTTTACGTGGGAGAAAACCCGAACAACCAAAGACCTACATATATATATATATTGTACATACTGTACTTGTAGTGTGGCTATATTATCTAGTTGTAATTCCCAAGTGATTCTTGTCCAAGCCCTATTCAAGTGACTTGAGATGTCTCAATACAACTAATTGTATAAAATCCATATTCAGAATCACAAATTATAAGTAAGTAGTTTTCCAAAGCTTGAGCTACATAATAGGCCATACAGATTTAGATTTAGTTATACTTTCACATGAAACATTGTCAATTATAAAGAAAAGAAGTAAATGCTAATTTGATTTAGAAACAAAAATCTGAATAAATGTGCAAGAAAATTGCTTTAAGATGTATTACTGTGTAGTTCATATATTGTTTTTTAAACTTTTCTATTCAAGAAATAGTCCAGAGAAAATGGTCCTTGAAAATTTATATACACAGGAAAGCTGAAACAAAACTCTAACAAATTCTAACAAAATTCTAACAGAAACACTTTTCAGCTCCAAATAAATCAATTGCCAGAAACTATATGCCAAGATTTTTCTTATTTCTGATTCTTTCCTTATCAATTAGCTCTATCTTAAATGGAAGGAAATCAATACCTGAGGAGTCTTTAACAGGTTCCCAGTGTAAATCATCTTTTCTTTCTTTGATCCATCCACACAAACCACCATCAAAGTTGCAACTATGAATCAGAACACCTGCAGAGAAGAGATGAAAAATCAATAAAAAGACCTTCAGATTTGAGACAGAATAACTCACTCCTTTATAAACGTGCTGGGATGTTCATTCCAATACTTTGTAAGTTACTAGATTGGTAGAGGCTAAGCTAAGTGTGTGGTTATTATGTGGAGTCAAGCAATGTAAAGAATATATTAATCACATTTGCAAAAAGGAGAAGCTTTTATTAGTGCATCAATTGATGAAGACTAAGGAATTTTAAGCCATTTCCTACAGTGTGTTTCTCTTTATTTCTGCTTTTAGAAAAGTATGGGATACCCAATTTAATTAAAATTTGTCATCTTGGGGCAAATTATAAAGTTCTGTAGATTTCATTAGATTTATTCTACTATTTTCCTCAGAATTCAAGGAATGGCTTTCAAAAAGTAGAATTCTTGTTTTATAGTACATCTGTTTTGTACTTACAAGTATTAAAGTACACATATGCCTGGTAGCACACATATTGTTAGGAAAGAAGTACACAATAAACAGTAATGCTTTCCGCTTCACAGTGCTTTCTAGAATGCTATCTAGATCCAAAGGGACAAAGTGCTTACCTGGATCATCGTTTGCTTCATCCTCATTGGCACTTATCCCTTGTTCAATTTCAAATGTTTCTAAGAGATTATTGCTCACTCCAGGCTGGCGGGGAACTGGAAGAGAAAACCATCAAGCCATTAAAAAAAACTATAAAATAGAGAAGGAAGTCAACCACGGATTATTACATAGATTACTTACCAACCTATCGTCAAGCTTCACTGCAAAAGCCATTTGGGTGAGCTTGTAAGAAATACAAGGATTTGAGCTAAGTAATAATTATAGAGGCCACAACCAACTACTATGACTCATAAAGAAGACTATAAAGAGAGAACCATATTCAGACCCTCTTGCATTTCCTTCCTAACAGCTTTTTAGCATGCTAGTTCGTTTCAATCAGATCTTTGTTTCAGCTTCCATTGTGAAACTGCTCTGTTTTCAGTTTTTTGCTAACATCCAACCACATTACAGATAATCAGTCATGTGAACTCCCAATTTAAACAATACATTAGTGATGTTTTAATGAAATACTGTATATTGAGGTAGACATTGCTTAAGAATATTGTGCTTGCCTACACAAAAGTAAAACATTTTGTATTAGGCCATTTTAATTTTCTTGGAAAAACATGACTACTATAATTAAAGTACAGCAATGATATTGAGCTTTTTTGAGTGGCATATAGCATTATTTATTTCTTAAATATATGTGCTGTCAACACAACCTTAAGATAGTTTGTAATAAAATACGATACTAAAACCAGAAGTAAATAATAAAATCAACCTCTGATATTTAAAATGATGTAAGATGTGAATCATTTAAAACACCTGAATAAAATATCAGAAATTAGCCTAACTTAAAAGCACTGTAGAAAAATATGTTTTTTAATATCCCTCTTATTGGGGGAGAAAAAATGTGGAACATCTGCTGTTCTCACTAAAGAAAAATCATTCCTTGAATGCTGTCAAGGCCCAGATAAGTCATGGCAACTGTTCTTTCACTAAGATAGCTTTGGTTTTTAATTGTAATTGTTCAGACACAGGCCTTATAGAGAGCAGTCTGCTTGAACATCTAATATGTGATAGACTGTTATTTGGTATCTGGGTATGAATTTTGCCATTCAGTATCCCCCCCCCCCGCTACAATGTGATATGATCTACAATAGTTTTATTTTAAATGATTCCATTTAGCGTGCATTTTATTTTTAAATTAAGACATGAAATTTTGATTAAAATTTATTTCCCTCCTACCCAACACAATGTGCCCATCTTATGAACCATTTTGAAAGGCAAACTTTGCTTCAGTAAAGACTATCTGGTGAGCCACCACTGGAATATTGGTTCCCTGTGAACCTTCTCCCTTCCAGGAGAATCTCTCCTCCCTAATGCTCCTTTCCAATTTTCAGGAAAAGGAGGCGGACTGTCCCTACTCTACTCCATATGCAGGAATGATCAAATCCCAATCCTGCAATATTCCTCAGTTATCTCTCTTTAGTTTCTCCACTCCTAGTTAACAGATGGAATTTCTGCATGGAAAAGGGCAATAGGAGGCTGCTAGTTACAGTGACCACTGCTACTGAACCCTCTGTAGAGTAAAACTACAGATTTAGCAACCAGAAATTTTGGAATTCAATTTATATCTGCTAGTACAAGTAATCCTCAACTTATGACCATTTGTTTAAAGCAGCGGTTCTCAACCTTTGTGTGATGGCGAGTCCCATCACACGGACGAGGCGCGCATGCGCCGTGGCGCCCCATGCGCGGCCCCATGCACGGCGGCCCCATGCGTGGCGGCGCCCCATGCGCGGCGGCGCCCCATGCGCAGCACGCATGCGCGGCGGCGCCCCCATGCACGGCACACATGCACGGCGGCGCCCCCATGCGCAGCACACATGCATGGCGGCACCCCCATGCGCGGCATGCATGCGCCGCGGCGGCCCCATGCGCAGCACGCCTGCGCAGTGGTGCCCCCTGCGTGGCGCGCCTGCGCAGTGGTGCCCCCCTGCGCGGCGCGCCTGCGCGGCAGTGTGCGCCTGCGCGGCGCGCCTGCGCGGCGGCACCCCCTGAGGGGGAAAAATGGCAGATCGCATTGTTTGGCGACCCCCGTAAAATGGTCATTCAACCCCAAATGGGGTCGCGACCCATAGGTTGAGAACCACTGGTTTAAAACCCTAGTGGCATAGTAGTTAGAATGCAGTACTGCAGGCTGACTCTGCCCACAGTCTAGAGTTTGATCCTGATGAGGCTCAAGGTTGGCTCAGCCTTCCATCCTTCCGAGGACAGTAAAATGAGGACCTAGTTTGTTGGGGACAATATGTTGACATTATAAATCACTCAGAGTGCTCTAAAGCACTATGCAGTGATATATAAATCTAAGCGCTATTGCTATTTGTTTAACAACCATTCAAAGTTATGACACCGCTGAAAAAAATAATTTATAACCCATCCTCACACTTAACAATTGTTGCAGTGTCCCTGTGATCATGTAATCAAAATTTGGGTGCCTGGTAACTAGGATGTATTTACAATCGTTGCAGCATTCTGGGTTCACATGATTGCCATTTGAAACCTGCCCAACCAGCTTCTGGTAAGCCAAGTCAGTGGAGGAAGCCAGTGTGGGTGCTCCATCACTGGAGGTTTTTAAGAAGAGATTAGACAACCATTTGTACACAGTCTCCTGCTTGAGCAGGAGGTTGGGCTAGAAGACCCCCCAAACTCCCTTCCAACTTTGTTATTCTGATATTTGCTTAATAATCGTGTGATTCATTTAACAACCATTCGAAAAAGGTAACAAAATCTAGTGTGACTCACTTAAGGTCCGTCTTGCTTAAAGATGGAAGTTCTGGTCCCAATTGTGGTTCTAAGCCAAGAATTACCTGTAAAGCAAACCTAACCCTAAACCTATGTAATATATACCCCTATTATCATGAAGTGTCCGACTTTGTTAGGAATCAATATCTGTATATGCCTTCTAAGGCTAAGTTCTTGTTGACAATACTATAGAAGAGGCAAGTAGTACACATACTACAGGCAAGTAGAGAGAACGTCTTTGCCATTTAAATCATTATGACATTCTCTTTGAAAAAAATGTTTGTAACTATAATAGCATTAACACACTTAAATTTAAAATTACCTTTCAATGTCCACAACTTTTATCTCAAAGTTCCTCCTAATTTGGAGCTAGGCCTACAAAAGGATCTAAATCTTCTGAAAGAATAATGCCTTAGGCTGTTTGCCACATGAAAGCTTGACAAATTGATGTAATCCAAAACATGAAAGGAATTTCACGTGCAGACTGTACAGCTGGTCCTTTGATTTCATGTATATCAACTAAAGAATAACATGCAATTATTATAGCTTTAGACTACTCATATCAATATCTCTAAATGCCAAACTATTTGTGCTGTGTAACTAATATTTCCCAGAGAAACCAGCAGAAAACTGAGTGTTGAGTCCTTGGCATTAAAGTTGTAATTCTTTCAGATTTATAGTCTCGACTGATTTTTTTTTTAACTTCTGAGCAGACATGCCTAAGATCTTACAAACAGTACAAACAATAAGCCTATGCTGATACATATATAATGAAGCCTTTTCTGACAAAACTTTTCCTTTGGCTATAGGAATTCATTATTCTGCACTAAATACTACAGTAGGTAAAGAGCACCTAGATATATATAAAAAAGAGAAGACTACAGAGTGAATTTGAGTGATTTATTGACTAAAATTCTGTGGATTCATGAAAGAGTCTCCTCAATTAATTAAACATTCTTGCATCTCTGAGCAACTTAATGGATTTCTAAGCATACCAGCCCTCCCCCGCTCAAGACCTGCTATGTCACCTCATTCTGGTAGTCCAGTTTCTGAGGGTAAGAATGAAAAACACCAGGAGTATATACCAAAACTAAAAGCTAGTATGAGAATTCACCTATGGTGTAAAGGTCATCCCAACTGCCTAGCTAAAGCAAGCAGGCATTTATACTAGAGACCAGCAATATGGGAAGAAGAAGGAGGTATATGGTCTTTCTTTTTAGAGACAACAGCAAACCTATTATTTGAATTGGTATGCTAAGGGTCACAAGGTGAATGATTCAGAGAAGAAGAATAAAAAAAACAGGATGGAAGCATAGTGAAATTCTGTAGTAGAGATGTCAACATCCAAGATACTTTGGAAAATATTTCCTATTCTCAAGAACCTGTACAGATGAAAGATGAAAGATGAAATTTGATCGGCATTCTGATTATTACCGAGATGATGACGAGAAAAAACAGAATGATCAGCAACAAAGAACATGGGTATAATTACAGAGCGATAGTATTCTGTTAGGAAACCTGAAAATCTAGGATGGGAACAGATTATCTTGGTGGATGTCCACCCATGTGATTATTAAGATTAAATACTGATTTGAGGGTACATAATTAATTGATAAGTCAAAGCATTTCCAGTTCTTCCAAGCTTAATCTTGTTGCACCATTTTATTTGCCTGGCTAAATAGTAAGTGGCAAACTTGACTGTTTAACCTTTATGAAGCAATATCATCTGCTCACATGGAACTGGAAAGATAAACTGCTGTCAATTGTAAGCACTTTCAGAAGCCAAAGTACAGTTAATTTCACTGCCTTTCATTTTGAAGGAAAACATTTGCTTAGATTCAGAAAAACAGTCAGAAACTTAAATTGTGAGTTCCAAACCTGTTCCAACTTGATATGTTGTCAAAAGCCTTTCCACAGGCTATAATATGTATTATATTGAGACAAAATGTGTGTCTCTCTGTGTGTGTGCATGCGCGCATGAATTGTTTTTAACCCAATATAGTGCATGTATCTTTCTTTTTTTTTCCTGTTCAATTATATCCAATTCTCAGAAACTGCCTGGACAAATCCCTGCAGTTTTCTTGGCAAGGTTTTTAAGAAATGGTTTGCCATTGCCTTCTTCCTAGGGCTGAGCCAAAGTGACTGGCTCAAGGTCACCCAGCTGGCATTGTGCCTAAGGCAGGACTAGAATTCATGCTCTCCCAGTTTCTAGCCTGATGATTTAACACACCAAACTGGCTCTCTGACATGTACCTATCCTACTCTAAAAAGAAGATTTACAAACCAACTGATGTATTTATACAGCATGGCAAACAGAAAAAATATATATTATGAACTCAGTCTTTGATTTTAATATAGCATTTTTAACATTTGAAGATAAGAAGCTATATGTTAAACTCTGGAAAACTGAATGAATAATTGTAAAATATGCACATGATGAAACATTAGAGCAAGTAAATGAAATTGTGTACCTAGGTGAGACGTTTATTAAAAACAGGGAAATGGGCAAAGAAATTTTAAGATGTGTCAACATTGACAGAAAGGAATGGGAGGCAAGAACTTATTTATTATTTATGTATTGTCCAAATCCAATATTAAACTAAAATGGAATAATATGATTAGTAGGTACTTATGTATGCAAGTGTAGTTAAATAGAAGGAGGAGAGGAGAAATATTGTTATTCTGTTGCATCAAATGACTTCAGCCCAGAAAATGTTTTAGATTTTAGCTCTACAGGTCTGTCTGTCTGTAATTTATATAATCATCCATCTCACAAGCAAATGAATCTAGGTGGTATACAACAAAACATATCTAAAAATAATTATCATTAAAAATATTTAAACCATTAAACATTGTAAAAAATACTAAAAGAAGACTAATAGATGCAGGGATGTTAATAGTAATGGAGCTACCTCATTAGTTCACCTTGTCAGGGGCCCCAGACCTCCTGGCATAATCAGATCTTGAGGGACCTTCAGAATCTTAGATGTGATGAAGCCGTTCTCACCTCAGGAGAGGAGGGGAGAAGGCTCACAGTGTGGGGATTATAAATATTCTAACAGATTTTCCTAAACATTACCTATCTTGTGACTTTGCCATATTGCCAATCATAGTTCAGATTTCTTCTGTCATAAATAAAAATAAGCATCTATCAGCATCAGATATTAGACAATATGAGCAATACAGAACAAAACAATAATATCTGTGCAATTTACATATTATTCACTTTTTCATTCACTGGATTGATTGATTGATTGATTTACTTTGTCATTCACTGGATTTATTTATTTATTTATTTATTTATTTTTATTTATGTATTTAATTTATTGCCGCCTATCTCATAGTCCTATCCTGAATGTGGGTAACAATGTTTGCAAAATAATTCTTTAAGAACCCTTACAGAGAATTATGGTGTAATACGTCTTTTTTCAAAAACATTGGGTATTCTTAGATAATGCCTTCATCTTCCTCAGGCTTACTGCTGTGTTTTCTGTCCCCTAAAGTTATGAGGCCTTTATACCTAAAATATATATTAAAGGTGGAAAATTCAAATAAACTGCTTTTCTGGGGAGGGAGAAAACTGTCTTAAGAAGTATGCTAATAGGAGTTGCTGAAATACAGCCAAAATCACTCCCAAAGTTATTCAGGAATGCACTTGTCCATACAAGATAATAAAATTCATATTCTCTTAGCTAAGCACTGTTACTATTCTGGGCACCAAAGAAAACTTTCCGAGATACACTCACAAACTCTATAATTAACGTCAGTTGTGATGCTAAAGATGAACAGAGCACTGGGGTATTTCTTGGCAGGCATTCCAAAACATGCAAGTCATCAAATGTCATTTGTGGCATGAAGCTGACTTGGCATGAAAGTACTGCAATATTTTTAAAGACATCTCTCTAAATGATGCTCCCTAATGAAGAAGCACCTTTGGAATCATGAAGTCCAAATATCTCCCATTTGTTGTGCTCATTCCATAAAGCAGAAATCAACAGTTATTTTTAACTTGACTTTCCATTTGATTCTTGAGCAAGTAGCCACAAGATGGTTATGGGAATTCACATGAAACAGCACGTCTCTCAAAAACTTGTTTGGAAATTAAACTTGGGTCCAAAATATTAATCCATTACATATTTAGTATTGTTTTTTTTATTTAATCCATAGCCAAATTTCCCATATCACTGCATTCCATTTGATTTTCAAATGTCCATCTATTATAATTGGACATGTTGATCTAGATTTTCCTAGAATAGACCACAAGCTACAAGTCCAGCATTCTGTTCCCACAATGATCAAATGCCTAATGTCAGTGAGAAATCAACATGCAAAACACGATGAAAGTAACAGCATCCTCCAACACATGTCCCTTATCACATAATATTCACATTGCATGTGATATTAGAAGTATGCTACTATCATGATTAGCTGCTATAGATTACCTTATTCTCCATAAATGTGCCTATACTGTTTGTGACAGTATGAGAAATCTTATTTTGAGCAACAGGAGAATATCAAATTATACAAGATCTTGTGATACAATATTCCAAATAGTAACTATGTGCCTTTGTAACCATCTTTCAAGGCATAATCCTGGTTTCTACTAAGAGGGATAGAGAAGAGATTTTTTTTCCAGACATAAATATATTCATTTTTATTATTCCTTTCTTACTCATTCAATAATAATAATAATAATAATAATAATAATAATAATAATAATAATAATAATAATAATAGTAATAAAAAGTTGGAAGGGACCTTGGAGGTCATCTGGTGCAACCCCTGCTCAGGCAGAAAACCCTATACCATTTCAGACAAATGGCCGTCCAGTCTCTTCTTAAAAACTTCCAGTGTTGGAGCATTCACCACCTCTGGAGGCAGGTTGTTCCACTGGTTAATTGTTCTGTCAAGAAGTTTCTCCTTAGTTCTAGGTTGCTTCTCTCCTTGATTAGTTTCCATCTGTTGCTTCTTGTTCTGCCTTCAGGCGCCTTGGAAAATAGCTTCACTCCCTCTTCTTTGTGGCAGATACTGGAACACTACTATCATGTTCCCCCTCATCCTTCTCTTCATTAAACTAGACATACCCAATTCCAGCAGCCGTTCCTTATATGCTTTAGTAGTTAATAACGGTAATAGTGATAACATAGTAATACCCTGAGATGTAATTTAAAAGTTTAGATCTGTCAACTTGTGGATCAATATTAAAAACATGTTGTTTAATCCCATGAATAGTTTTGTCTTAATCTATCACTTTCTCTCTCTCTTCTCCTATTCCTGCTTCCTCATTGATGAATTTAATCTAGTTAATTAACTATATTTCACATCAACACATGAGAAAATTTACCCTTACTTACTAAATACATCTCCTCGGGGTTTCTGTGGCTCAAATGGGATCCTATTGTCAACTGTAATTTCCGGCTGTGGTGTAGTTTCACTAGGAAAAGGCAGAGGCTCCTCAGTTACTACTATTGGCACTGTTGTTGTTACAGGCTTAAATGGAACTGTGGGTGGTTGGGGAGGACTTGTCACTGGTGGAGATTTTGTCACTGGCCTGAAAGTTGTTCTTGTTGTGGCCGGTTCTGTTGCCAATCTAGTGTATGGTTTGTATGTTGGTTTCACAGTTGGTCTTGCTGTTGTCTTCACATAAGGCTTTGGTGTAATTACATATGGTATATATGGCAATTTGATAGGATATTTTGTACCACCAGACTCAGGTATTCTGTTGGTCATGCCACTGCTTCCTTTCAGAAAAGTTGAGTTGCTTTTAAATACACTATATGGGTTAGATGGATCAATCATAACTTTAGGAATCCCTGGAAAGAAAGAACCGAGAAATGTGCAAAATTAAGAAGTGATGCAATGTTAACGCTAACAAAAGCAACTACAAAACAAAACAAAAACAAAAACAGTATTTCTAGACTAATATCAATACAAAAGTATTATGATGCTTGCTTATAGTTCTGTGGATATCATTTTTTATCTTTAATTCATAACTACAATTTCCATATCTATATGAGACTGTCAAATTTTCAAGAAGATGCATTTTTTTCCATAAGTTGGATATGTAGTCCAAAATAAACAGGTCTTCTATAGTTCCAACAAAACTAGACAGCACCAGTTTGTAGAATTTTATTGAAGGCTACTGCATTTTAATAGTAAGAGAAATTATTCAGGTATATGCTTGTAAACATGGTGGAGGATTCAGTGTTTTAAACTTCTAAAATGCATAAGCAAATAACACAAGTGCTTAAATATTATCTAAATTAAATGGATGAGGAATTTGTTCAATAGAAGAAAGCACATTCTTCTTGGCAAATACATTGCTCAAATTAACTTAAGCGAAACTGCTGTAAGTAATTAATTTAGTGAATACTTTTAGAGCAGAAGTATGAATCTATGCACGGAATGAAAAGCAAATTTTCCAAGATATCTGCAACATTTTATTTGGGCCTCTGCATGATTTTGTCCAGCAAAGTGGTGATACCTTACAAATATAACACCATGACAAATAAATTTGATCAATAAATGCCTCTGCAGCCGAGAACCGAGCTATAGATTCAATCGTAGCTCAGTTCTCGGCTGCAAAGGCCTTTCCAGAAGGCCTCTGACACCGAAATGCAGGCCGGGGGATGCCCTGCATCTCAACCCAGAGCTGCATTCTCAGCTGCAGAGGCATTTCCTTTGGCTGCAGAAAAAGTGGGCTGGCTGGGCAGGTCTGTTGGTGCCACCGCCACGAGGTGAGACCATGGAAAAGACATCCCCGGGAAAACACAGTATTACCTGATCGCAGAGCCTTAGTATTCCAATCCACTACAAATACCTTTCCAACTTTGAAAAATACATTTTACACCAGCTTTTTAATATGACTACTAAAACCAGGGTCAGATGTCCAGGTGTCCATCAGATAGCAGCAAAGATTTGGAGTTTACAGTGATTATCTGGATTTAAGTAGTCCAAATGTCATAGCCCTAATATTAACACTTAAAACTTTCAGAATACACTTTTTGTTTTTACAAATGTTAGTGAAACTGAGATGATCTTAATAGATCTTAAAATGAACTTCACAAAGAGGTCATGTCTCATTTGGATTCAGAATACCAGATTAAAAGGATCATTACTTACTTATGCAGTTTAATCCATCACCTCTGTACTCTTCTTTGCATTTACATTTGTAAGACCCAAGTGTATTATAACACTGGGAATAACGTCCACACTGATATTGGCCAAGAGAGCATTCATCTATGTCTGTAACAGAAAATAAAATAAATACTATTTTAATAATAATCATACATTTGCAATTTCAAGTTAACACTCTTTCTTTAAAAAAATTAACACAAATCCCATTGCTGTATTAAAATGCTGAAATTCTAACGGTGAAAATTAAAATGGAAGGCAAATTATTTGAAGAGGCTTGAATGAATCTGGTGTTTTAAAGAGGTCCCAGTGGTCTTTTACAAGCAATAAAGATCAGAAGTTTCAGATAGTTGAGTTTTGACTTATAAGCTTTTCTGTGATAATAGAATACTGCAGGCTACAAGAAAGAACTACATATTACAGAATGGATTCACATTGCTTGAAATTAATAGCCATGCTGGCTGATGATCATTAGAGTTGAACCCTACATGTCTAGAGGCCTGGGAAAAGTTCTATGAACTATAGTTTATTAAGCATGGTGCTGGCTTTCCAGTTTATGCTATGCAAAATCAAATATAATCACATTTTAGATCTTGGATTGGTCATGCTGTGCTAAACCATGAGGTATTGGAAAAATCAGGGAAATGTCGATCTAAGTGCCTTCCCTTTCTTTTTTTTTCATGAGCATCCAAGAAAAAGAAAAACAGTCCCAAATTCAGTTTCACTTCAGCATTACACATGCAAAACAAGGGATTGTAGCTAAATTCTAACTCTGAATGACTTGCAAAAAGAGCAAAAGGCTAGAACAGTGGTTCTCAACCTGTGGGTCAGGACCCCATTTGGGGTCGAACGACCATTTCACGGGGGTCGCCAAACAACGCAGTCCGCCATTTTTTTCCCCTTTTCCTTAGCTGTGCTACTCCCTTTTATTCTATTGGCTTTTGAAAGCCAATAGAATAGACTCTCTTGAATAGAGTCTAATTCTATTGGCTTTCAAAAGCCAATAGGAATTGTCCAGGCTGTCTCTGCCCTGCTGAGCCCGCCAAAAGTCCCATTCTGCAAACGGTGCTGCACCAGTTGAGTAGCCCTCGACTTACGACCGGTTGAGTAGTCCTCGACTTACGACCGGTTGGGTTCGCGGCATTAAAAAGGTTGAGAACCACTGTTCTAGAGTTTGTGAATCCACTTTGATAATTCAGCATACTAACTATAGTGGGAAGCCAGAGAGCATAAACTCAGCATTCTATAGTTCCTGAGATCTGAAGTGAAGTTCCACATGCATTTGACTAAATATGTTTTATGAGTTTTGTAGAAGAGAGGTCTCTGATTATACAAAATATGATGACAATATTCAAGCAAATACAGGTTCAAGTCCCTTCAGAGCTTCCCTGTTGTCTATGGCAGTTGAAGATAGGGAGAGCAGAGCAATCCCGCTTCCCTTTCAGACTTATGTTTTTCAAATGCTTGAAGTCGACTTTGGTGCAACAAATATTTATAGACTGTTTTCTTTTATGAATGATTTTCATTACCATGGCATTGGTATCGGCCTCCAATGTACATCAAATCAAAGCCTTTATGACACTTGCAAATATAACTTCCAAAAGTGTTGACACATTTCCTGAATCGGGGACAGGTAACGCTCCCAGTGATGCATTCATCCACATCTACAAATAATAATTAGTAGCAATGAGTTTTATGTATTCAAATTTAAAAACACATTTATCTTGGATAATCTGAAAGGTCAACAGTCTTCTAGGGCATTACTTTTTATGTAGTAGTGCTGTGCAGAAATTATAGTTAAATTTTAAGATTACTGTATGGATAACTCTATTTTTCCTCCATAAAACCCATCTTTTCAAATGGAATTTCGCATCCCTAATGTGGCATAACTTTATAAAAAGCAGGTTTAAATCTTGTGGAAAACCATTGTGTGCAAAACATTCTGAATGTTAGAAAAGAAGTGTTAAAGGAAGAATTAGAACACTGAAATGTTTAATTTAGGAAGAGGTAATTGAAATCTAATATCCTTCAAAAGCATAATTTATTCTGATTTATTATAATTTACCCTGTTGCACAAGTGAATTTTATTGGCAGATTTCCATGCTAAAAGTAAAGTTCAACCAAGGACATTAAATGACTGTTGAAAAGAATTGATTTAATCCAATCATTGGAAGGTTTTATATCCAAACTACAATGCTTGTCAAAAGCTTTATTAACTGTTTCTGGAAACTATTACAAAATGTAATTATGTGTTCAAAAAATGATTTATAGAGAAAATTTCAAGACTCCAGGCATACCAGATTCTAGGGATCAACATTACAACATAAAAAAGATACATTCATAATATATCCTTTCACAACACTGAAACAAGGCATTTTAACCACTGAGTTCAATTATCTGTTCTATTATGAATCCAATTGAAAATATCTATAATAGATCTTTATCCAGTTTCTGTATGAACACAATAATATTAACATTCTCAAGCAACAACATCTGCTTATAAATCAGCTGTGGTGGTCCCAGTGGCTTCTGACACACTGGGTGCTTACAGTAGTGGCCAAAATTGTGGAAGCCTTTTGGGAAAAGGGTACAGTAGAAATGCCACCTTTGGCTAAGTTTCCACCAATTTTTCTTCTAATTTCTTTATAACTGTACCCTTGTTCACTTAATAATACTATTTTACATCACTTTTACATCACCAGATGTACATCATGTTTACATCACTTTTACATCACCACTTTTACATTACTTTTACATCACCAGATGGATCCGTAGCTGATCAGCCATACCCAGCGTGTAGTCCTCAATGGAACCACATCTACATGGAGGGAATTGTGTAGTGGGGTAGTAGAAGTAGTGTATACCTTTTTTTAATGAAAATTATCAGCACTTTTGATCAGTGACATCATCAAAGTAAACAAACCCACGTGCTGATTACATCAGCAGGTCATGGCCCTAAATGGAAGTGACGTGCTCAGCCCCCACCCTCCGGATGTGACGTTTTGGCCTAATCCCATCAAGATTGGCAGTCAATCCTCTGGGTACATGATTAGGTTAACCTGGACTAATTCTATGGACATTCAAAACCAAAAACAGCTAAGTAAAGTGAATAATTAGCAGAGGCCTGTGTTTTTGGGATACAAGCCCTGCTTTGGGGAGCTGTGAAATAAAAAATAAAAAAGGCTTTTTATTTCTAATCATTCTAGCCTAACGATGCTTTTAATTTTTGTGGAGTTTTAAAAATCAGTGCCTCAAAAGCGGTGGGAAAAGAAGCCCCTGAAAGGCAGCCAGAGCCTGCATTTAACCCCTTTTTTCTAAAAGGTATTTTTTTCTAAAAGGTATTTATTTCTAGGTGGCTTTAAAAGCATTTCCTTGAATGCAGGGGAAAAAACAAACAAACCACAGCCCATTTTAAAACCCATAGCTGGCTTTTACCTTTGTAAAAAATCTAAGTACACATATTTTGCCATTTGCAAAAATAAAATAAAATTTATTCTGCCCCCCTCCCCCCTATAGCAAAAGACAAGGAATATTAACAAAAATTAAAAGCATCGTTAGGCTAGAATGATTAGAAATAAAAAGCCTTTTTTATTTTTTATTTCACAGCTCCCCAAAGCAGGGCTTGTATCCCAAAAACACAGACCTCTGCTAATTATTCACTTTACTTAGCTCTTTTTGGTTTTCAATGTCCATAGAATTAGTCCAGGGTTAACCTAATCATGTACCCAGAGGACTGACTGCCAATCTTGATGGGATCACATCCGTTTAGGGCCATGACCTGCTGACGTAATCAGCACGTGGGTTTGTTTACTTTGATGACATCACTGATCAAAAGTGCTGATAATTTTCATTAAAAAAAGGTATATACTACTTCTACTTGGGGTACCCCAGGGCTCTGTTCTGGGCCCAGCGCTCTTCAACATCTTCATCAATGATTTGGACGAGGGGAGAGATGGGGAACTCATCAAATTTGCAGACGACACCAAGCTGGCAGCAATAGCCAACACTCCAGAAGACAGGATACAAGAGGATCTGGACAGACTTGAACATTGGGCGCTATCTAACAAAATGAAATTCAATGGTGAAAAAAGTAAGGTTCTACATTTAGGCAAGAAAAACCAAATGTATAGGTATAGTATAGGGGGTACCTTGCTCAATAGTAGTAACTGTGAGAGGGATTTCGGAGTGGACAATCATCTAAATACGAGCCAGCAGTGTGCTGCAACTGCCAAAAAAGCCAATACAGTGCTAGGATGCATTAATAGAGGGATAGAATCAAGATCACGTAAAGTATTAATACACTCTACAATGCCTTGGTAAGGCCACACTTGGAATACTGCATCCAGTTTTGATCACCACAATGTAAAAAAGATGTTGAGACTCTAGAAAGAGTACAGAGAAGAACAACAAAGATGATTAGGGGACTGGAGGCTAAAACATATAAGGAAAGGCTGCTGGGATTGGGTATGTCTAGTTTAATGAAGAGAAGGACGAGGGGGGACATGATAGCAGTGTTCCAATATCTCAGGGGCTGCCACAAAGAAAAGGGAGTCAAGCTATTTTCCAAAGCGCCTGAAGGTAGGACAAGAAGCAATGGATGGAAACTAATCAAGGAGAGAAGCAATCTAGAACTAAGGAGAAACTTCCTGACCGTTAGAACAATTAACCAGTGGAACAACCTGCCTCCAGAAGCTGTGAATTCTCCAACACTGGAAGTTTTTAAGAAGAAACTGGATAGCCATTTGTCCGAATTGGTACAGGGTTACCTTCCTGAGCAGGGGGTTGGACTTGATGACCTCTAAGATCCCTTCCATCATCATCATCATCATCATTATTATTATTATCATTACTACTACTACTACTACTACTACTACTACTACTGCTGCTGCTGTTACTTCTTTCTGGGCAACAGTCAACTCTTTGCACCATTACTTTAATTTTATTACGTTTTACAAGCTCACTAAATGAAAGAACACAAAAAAACCCAACCAACTTGATAGCGATCACATAACACATTCACAAATGTCCTCCTCTCATCTTCAATACATGTCATCAGGGCTTTTTTTCTCATAGAATGCTCAAAATGGAGTTCCGGCACCTTTTTTGGATAGAACCTTGTAGGCTAGGTAAGGCGGGTTCTATGACGTGTGTGAGTTTCGGCACCTTTTTTTTTTTTTTTAGAAAAAAAAGCACTGCATGACATCAATAACTAAATCCTACTGTGATCTGATTGGCTCATTGCCAAAACAAGATGACACCTGATTGGCTCTCTAAATACTCCTGTTTATTGGCTACTCCAAAAAAAAGTGGTGTTATTAGTTATCAAACCTCAAAACTACACTTTTTCCCAAAAGGTTTCCACAATTTTGGCCACTACTGTAATTAAAAAATCAGCACTTAGAAATTCAGCATATTGACAAAATTTCAAAAGGCCATATTCCTTGGATCCGTATAGTACATGTAAATGCTGATACATTATGACATGCTAGATTCTTGGGAAGAACTTGATATGTATGAAAACCAATACCAACTAAAGAGCTGGCAACTCTGATTTTACAACTCTGATTTTGCACTGTTAATCAAATTATATCATATACATTGTTGTGTACATGATATAATTTGGTTAACAGTGCAACCAACCACAATATTTAACTTGTATGCCATCTGACTCTGAATGACTCTGGGTTGCTCACAACAATCACACAAAGGAATTACAATAAAATCAATAAAAAAATAAAGATAAAAGAAGGCTAGAGTGATGAAGTGAGGGGTCTCCCTTTTCCTCACCAAAGGTCTGGGTCAAAGAGCCATGTCTTCATGTCTCTACTAATCAAGAGTGGGTGGGGTGGGGTTTTTTTGGAGGAACCTCATTCCAGAGAGCAAGTGCTGCTACAAAGAAGGCACACTTCCAGCATCCTAAGAGATGACATCCTTTAATCAAGGGTACCCACTGAATGGTTCCTTCAAAATTGGTCCATTATCAAACTGCCTTTATTATCAAGTTTCTCCCAATTTCTCTCCTGTCTGAAGTTTCAGTTCACATTATAACTGTAAGCAGCCATAGGAGGAAGACGTAAGATGAACCATACAACCACAAAGCAAACTCTGCCTCTTGCATACTACATCACAACATAAGTATAAAAAGGCAGAGATTTCATCTTGATGACCCAGTACACATTTTATCCTTTTGGCATCATCAGGGTTAGGAACAGATATCTATCTCTGCAATAATTTCTAAAAATAGTTATTTTTTACTTCTGACAAATATTGTAATATGGAGAAAATACTTAAAACTATGTAATGATTTCTTACAGTATTTAAAGTGAACAAATTCATTTCAGTGATCGTTGATGGTCTCCTTTACATTAGTATATCCTTTCAGTCTTATAATGTTCTTTATTTCCAAAACCTTTTTCTGAATGACTGTTCAGATTGGTTGAAAATACATGAAGATTCTTTACTTCTTAAAAATTATTCAGGTAATTTAACATTTTCAAGAACGAGAATGACTCTTTGTTTCTCTCATTTCTGCCCCACATCAATTGTGAATGATTCTTTCATTGTTGCATTTAAAACAAAAATGGCACATTTTTTCAGTCTTTTTTTCACTACTGATATCACTCACTATAAGAATGTTAATATGTTTTTTTTTCAATTTTATTCTTCTGCAATTCTTTAAAAGTTCAACATGCATAATAATTAACAGAATTCAAAGGCCCAAGAACATTAAAAATCCCACTAGTATATCAGGAATGGAAAACTGTTGTTTCTAAGAATTTGACTTTGCTTGAGTATTATTTTGACATGAGTGTGATACATGCTCAATATTTCCTAGTAAGTAGATTGTATAAAGCAGGGATGCCCAATCTTGGCCACTTCGAGACTTGTGGACTTCAACTCCCAAAATTCCCCAGCCAACATATCTTAAAGTTGCCAAGATTAGATACCCCTGTTATAAAGGTTCTTTTAATCTCCAAAATTCCTTCCTTCAAACAAAATTTATTGTGAAAAGCTGCCCAGAATTTCCACATCTTATGGAAGAGAGAAAATAAATATTTTTTTACTCACCCATGCAGGTTCTGCCATCTGGTGCCAGCTGTAATCCTGGTGAAGGACAACGACAGTGTATTTCTCCCTTAACCACATCACAGCCATACTGACAGTTTGCCATTGAACACGTGAGAGCATCTATGGAGAAATCAATATGTTAATCAAATGCTTCAGGATGTTTTTCACGCTGCCAGCTTATTTTTAAAATAGCATTGTAATGCAATTTAGCAACAGAAAAAGCCAATGGAAACATTGCTGTGATTATCTTTATGAGATGTTTCCTTCCTGATTGCAGAGAAAACTCTGTTATTTCTCCCAATCTTGATGTACTAAAATACAGTAGGCAAATTTATTTTAATAGTAGAAAGGCGGAACTTCCTTTTTACTATTAAGAGCTGTGGTGGCACAGTGGTTAGAATGCAGTATTGCAGGCTGTCTCTGCATTCCCACCTCCAGGAGTTTGATCCTGAACGGCTCAAGGTTGATTTAGCCTTCCAGTCCTTTCAAAATCGGTAAAATGAGGGCCAAGATGATTGGAGGCAATATGCTGATTCTGTAAACTGCTTAGAGAGGGTCTGCAAAGCACTATGAAGCAGTAAATAAGTCTAAATGCTATTGCTATTCACATACAGGAAAATTATACTAGAACATTAAAACTGAGAACCATGGGAAAGCATTGGATGATTTTGATAGATTTCATTTGTGATATTGTATTTTGGGGATTGTGGGGAAGGCTGCCATTTATTTAACAAGTTTTCAGAACCATAGCTTGGAGAATCTTTGGATTTCTGACAAAAGCCTATAGTTCAGGGAAATTTTGGAAATTAGTATTTTAAGTACCAACATCTATCCTCAACTCATTGCCCAAATATAGAGAATGAATGCCACCTTAAAGCAGTAACTTCATTACTACATGAAGTACTATAAATTGCCATATAAACTGTTTACCAAACTGACCACAGGTATCACTGTTTTCATCTTTCACTGCTTCCAATCACTCTGAAAATGCATTCAGTTTTCCATTACTTCCTGAATTCTCAAACATTTTCCTTGTCACTTACTTATTTCTATCCCACCCATCCTTTCTCGGTGAGAGAAAAGGAAAAAATAGAGTAGTGTATATTTTAAACACTCAGCAAAGGTGGGGCAAGCCTGAATATTTGAAAAGGCTATAAGGACACAGAACGTTCTTGGCAAAAAGTAGAAATCAGCTCTTTTGGTAGTTCTGTTTCTGATATCCTCTCAATTCACAATTGCCTGACTTGTTGAGCTTTAAATTTTTTAAACCTGTTAGCATATCTGATTCTGATCAGGGTGAAGATTGAGAAGAAGCAGGAAAAAAGAAATAACTGATAAGAGAAATATAAAGAATGTCTCACCTGAGACCAAAATTACTGAAATGTGTGTGAGGGAGGGAGTTCCTAATGAAGAAAAATGGAGATGGAAGAAAGGGACAAAGCCAGAAAGAGGACAGGACAAGTATTTTCTGAGTCATGTGGTGGTGGTATGGAAGTCAGAGATACAGAATAGACTGAGGGTAGAGAGTAGCTAGTGATTTTCTTGCCAAACATGGCAGTCATATAATACAACTGCTTGGTTTCACGGTGACTAAGCACTACATTAAAAGCCTATTAATTCTTGGGTTGGGCAGGAAGAATAAAGAATTTTACATCATTGAAGGTATATAAATAATTTGCGTACTTTCACCAATAATGATTAACTATTTTGTATGGTTTCCTTACTGTCTGCAACAAATATTTATAACTAGTGGAGATGTGAATCTTCTGCCAAGATAAGCTAAGAAGCCAATCTGTGACAGAAAATTAATCAATTACTGTCAAGACCGGGCCATGGAATTCTGACAGCAATATTGCAACTTAACAAACATCCATAATTCTTGCTATGTTGTTACATTCCAAATATGACAATTGTGAGTCACATAAAAAGTGACTCTTGTATCTTGTGAAAATAAAACAAATGGAATGCTATTTCTTCTTTTTTGCTTTGGTTTTTTTAATCTCATTTAACAGAGTCCTTTGCTTAAGGCAAATTAACTCCTGCTTCCAAGGAATTCCACTGTAAAAAAATTGAAACAATGAAAACTTAACCTACTAGAGCATGATCCATCAGGCATAAGCATGTATCCATTCAGACAATAACATTTGTAGCTTCCATAGGTATTCATACATCGATGTTTGCAAGGCCTTGGTTTCAATCCACATTCATTGAGATCTAAAGAGGATATAGGGAGGGTGAGGAGCAAGAAATAAAACATTAGATGCTAGCATTTGAAGTTTTGGAAGTTCAAAGTCAGTTATTTTAGAAAATTAAGTCTGCTTTACAGTAGCTGTGTGTGTGTGTGTTAAATTTGGATTGCTAACAAAGAGTTAAAGGGAAGCTGGTATAGCTATTTTGAGCTCTTTAGCTCTCATCAGCCAGCTACACCCTTCTGAGATTCAAACCTGGCTGCTTACACATTAGGAATTCAATCATTATTGGATAACATAACCCAAACTTAGTAAATAGATATGAATATGTATAATATATTGAAGGCAAAATGCAATAACTTATTAAATTTTTATACTGTTCAGATTCAGAAAGTGTAGGTTATGACACATAGTTTTGGTACACATAGTTTGGTACACAAATGTATGATTTTGGCAGTATTAGGGCACAGTGTTAAAATAAATCTTAATAGAAGAAATATATTCTTACTACTTGCTTAATTTTAATTCAACATTAATTGTATATTTTTGCTGACTTTATTCAGTAACTTTGAGAATAAGTCAAAAGTAGACAAACAGAGTCTGGGTTTTAATATTTTAAGGTTCAAACCTTGCAAACTGCACTGGAAATAGGGCATTTCACATCAGCTTCATTGTTTCTGTACTGGTATTCATTCAAAGGCTAAAAATGTTAACTTAGGAGTTCCCCAGTATAATTTCATTAAAGGAGAAAAAATCCTTTTTTTTTAATTTAACTGTTTCACTGTAACATCTCTAATAAACTGCCTTTCTGTTTACATTCTGTAACAGCTTTCTCAGATCTGTGTTAAAAATATTTGATATATTTTAATCCAATATTTTTATCAGCAATATGATAATAATATGAATATCAAAGACTCCACTACAAATTTCAATCACACAAAAAACTAGCCTTCAGTAAGGATATCTTAAGTAGAAAAAATTGTCTATAAATGGACCTTGGATTTATTTTGTTCATTTGGAAAATAATTTAAGGCCATTAAGGCAGGCATAAGATCGCAAAGGATTTTATACAATAATCAGAGGGCAACCTTTAATCCAAGTTGTGCTTTTTTCACTGACCTCAGTAGCCTTTGATCATTTACATGAACTATGCAGACAAAGCAACAGGAATGCACATATCCCCATGTGAGTTGCAAATACACTGAATACACCATTTAGAAACGCATAATCCTGTGCAGCATTCCAGATACAAGTTTGCAACTCTCAGAACTAACTGAATCCTGGCACTTGTTATCTATTCTATATAACCCTTTTTTAAAAAAAAAAATCTGTTTTAGCCAGTGGCACTATACCTGTGGTTTTTGTACATAAAGGAAAGGAATAGTTATAGTTATTATAGCCACAAAAGTGTCAGTATCGTAATGAATTGGCATACATGTTGCATTTTTCAAAAAGATCAAAAAATGTGTTTCATAAAGATCTTGCTTAGAATACTCTATGAACTAAAAAAGTAAATCTAGCAAGTTGGATCAAATATAAGAAAAAGTTATAAAAATGTTAAATTATCAAAACCTTTTTAAAAATCCACTGCGGTCTTCCATGTTTCTTTGCATTTTGAAAATAATTTAATGAGAAGTGCTTTAGCAAGCTTTGTTTTTGTTGGTTACCGTTACACACAAAAAGGAGAGTACTAAAATAATAACATAGGAATATTGCCATCATTAAAACTATATATTGAAGAGCATATAGAGAAAGCTAGGTGTTGAAGCAGCCCTTTTAAAAAGCCAGTCTCAAAAGCGCAGGCTGCTAAGCTTAGCTACTGCATTATAGGAAGAGAAATGGTTAATGCTTTTCTTAGAAAACAAATGGCTTTTGTGTGCTATCACTGCAGAGCAATTTCTAGCTAAAATATATAATAAAGATTTAATAGTTGCACCTAACAATGAAATACAATTGCTTTTCAGGTGCCATAAAATCAAAACTTTTAATCAGCTAGATGAAGTGAAACTGTGCTTCCAGGATCAGGCTTGGAAACATCATCAATGCTGAGATCCACCCACAGAGGTATGGAAGGACCTGACAACTCTGCAGTATTTAAATCCTTTTCAACTTCTCTTTGTTCTTGCCTGCATGCTCCAAACTAGGGACAAGATAGCCATCTTCCCAACCACCAAAGAGATCTAACCATAGGTCCCATTCTCCTACTGATAATTACAGACTGCACGTGCACCAGCAGAAGACAAAGGAACTATTACCCTCAATTCATCAGGTAACAATAAAATGTTTAAAGAACCTTAAGAACAATTTCCTGTAACAGAAAATGTGGTAAAATATTGATCCCAGGGTTAATTATTCATAATTATTAACTTACATGGGTTATAACCAGAATCTTGTGATAGTTCCAGTCACTATAATAACCCTTACCAAGCCACATTGTCTGATAGTTTTCCTATTGCAAAAATCACATTTTCTGAATAAACTCTGTCAAACTTGCAGCATTATTCTAAATGAACTATCTATTCTCAAGATATGATGGGACTCCAGAAAGCCCTGCTGGAAGGGATTTCTAAAAATATAGTCCCAACAGATCTATAGAACTTCAGGCCCATAAGCACTCTGATTCTGATTACTATTGTGCCATGTACATTGCACCACCTGAAAAATGCACCAAGGACCTGCTCAATTGTCACAGCTAGCAGACTTCTGGGAATAATCTAATTATCCTCTTGAATAATATATTGCAAAGTGCTAAGAGGTCTGCTGTACCTCCTTAATATATATCAAAGAGAAGTTCTATCTCTTCTTCCAGCTCAACTTTTCCTATTTTGCAGCATCTTATATATAGTAGTTGTCTTTCTTATCTTCTGTTATTCGCTAGGTCTGACATTATCCAGGTACAGCACTTTCTGCTTATGTTTTTCTCAATCTCTAGATCAGCGGTTCTCAACGTTTGTGTGACGGCGACCCCCGTCACACAAACGTTATGCGCATGTGCGGTGTGCCGCCACCCCCATGCGTGGCGCACATGCGTGGCGGCGCCCCATGCGCAGCACTCATGGGCAGCGCCGCCCCCGGAGGCGCGGCGGCGCCCCCAGAGGGGAGAAAATGGCGGATCGCCGCCTTTGGCGACCCCCGAAAAATGGTCGATTGACCCCAAATGGGGTCGCGACCCATAGGTTGAGAACCGCTGCTCTAGATGGAGCATCAAATCCTGGATTTTCTGCAAATTATAAACCTTTTTCTTAAATGTGTCAAGAGATGTTACGCTAAACCTATAAGCTTCAGGATTGCCTGTATGTTATATGCTATATGTTATATGCTATATGTCATATGTTATATGCTCGTACTATACTGTGCATGCATTTTACATGCTAATACTAGCACTACTGTTCCTGGAAGAGAAACTGCCAGAGATTTTAACAAATGCTACAATTATGATGTTTACTTAACCTTATTTAAGCAAGCAGCATTTTATCAATTAAGAAGAAGCTTAGAAAAAGTAGCATACATCCCAAAAGCTCTGAGCAGGTGAACAACCACAGGAAGAAAGTTGTTGAGGAAGAGAATTGTTTGGAGGTTAGGGTAACTATCAACGCTCAGTCTAATTGCATGCTGCCTATATTGCAGGCTTCTTTGTGGCAGCCAGAAGTTTGTTATCCTTTCAGCCTGTTTGCATAAGAGGTTTCCATATGTACTGAAGCCGTGCAGGTGGAAAGCATGGACCACCTGAAATAAAGGATTGTCCTCACCCCTCCAAGGCAAATATGTGGCATGATCTTCTGCAGTGGTGAAAAAAGGTGGTTCACTGGACCAGTGTTGAGAGGTTGCAAACTGGTGTGCAGCTTCACAATGGAGGAGAAGGCATAACAGAAGTCAAATGACTGAAACTCAGCAACACAACATGGCACTTTATTAGGTGAAATACCATTTCTGCATGTTACACTCAACTGTCTCCGTTCTCTTTAAAAGAGCAGCAGCAGATTGGGTTCAGGGGAAGAGATAATCTAGCTGAATTTGCAGCATGGGCCTGAAAAAGCTGAACGTTCAACTGAGAAATCGCTGCTATACAAATCTCGAGAAGGTGAAACTTCTTGTAAATCTGGAGTCAGAAATTATTTGAACAGATTAGCACTTCTACTACTGGGGCACCCACAAATGATACACAGTACAACAGTTCAGATTTAAATGAAGTGGAAGCTTAAATTTAGAGAGAAACACAAACTGAAACACAAGAGGGTACCTGCTACAGGAATAGTTTTGTGATAGGCCCCATTGCATGCACTCAGAATCTCCAATGTTCTGAGAATTCCTTTAGCCCCAAACTTTTGGCAATTCTTAGAAAAAAGGGTATGGTATAATATTAGTTATACTACCAAAAGTAGAAGAAAGTACAACAATATGATGTATTGAGGGTAAGGCAGGGAACAGCCCAGGACAAAATGTGAGGTCTCACAAAAATCTTTCCGGTGAAGTTTAATATATCTAAACAAGTACGTTTTTAAAAACATTTAGAATTCACTAAGCTGTGGAAAGAAACACATTTCCTGTTGCATCAACTTTCTCAAGTTGTCAGATATTCTAAAATGCTCGTTTCATTTTCCATCAGAACAGAAGCTTAGGAAAGCTTTATTAGAATTCATGAGTGTAACTGCACTTTTAAGCCCTTGAAAACAGAGAATAAACAGGCACACATGTCACCTAGTTGGACTTTTCTTCATTTGATGGAATGAATTTTATTTCTATTTAAATTATTTTAGCATATGGATTTCTTTGCTTATTTTTTGAGAAAGCAGTGCTGGTAACAGCAATTTATGTTAAGTTCCCACCACTTGCTTAAACTGTAAATATTTGTGGGGGATTGTGCTTGGCTGAACTAAGCAACAACAATTTGAACAAATGTTTCAAAGAGATAATACAATTTCTCACTGAGTTCAAACTGGCCAAGGGGGGAAATAGTGTGACCCACAAGACATATATGCCTACCAGTATTCCTCTTTTTTTGTCCCCAGATTACAAAAAAGTGGGTAGTCTTCTTAAAACACACACTTTTTTTTCCATTTGGGGGAATCAGGATATTTTAAGGGGGGGGGGAAATAAAAATTTCCTATCTTCAAGCTTACTCTGGGAGTGAAGACTTTGATGTGTCCTCAAACCAATGGAAATAAGGAGATCAAAGATTCCACAATTGTTCACTTTCATTTGGTAAAATATACCATTGATCTTGTCTATCATTAAATCAAGTGGCCAATAACTGAAGCTGTACCTCTGCAGTATAAATTGCTCTTCCTTTATAATTCTGATAAGGACCAAACAATAGCTACTATAAAAACAATTAACTGATGTTTTGTAAAGAAGCTTGAGTTTTATTTGTTTTTCTTTCCCTTTTTTGTTTCCTTACCTTGGTTGCATATTTTCCCAGTGTATCCTGGATGACATTTGCATTTGTTTGGACCAACACATTCTCCATGCTTACATCCAGGTTGACAAACAGCTGTGAATACCCAAAAAGAAGGCTATTATTCTCCTTTCAAATTAAAATGTTCACAGAATTAAAGAGAGTAAATTAAATAAATTTTCATGGTCTTTGTAGCTGTTATATTTTGTTAGGTACTTTTATTGTTGTTTTTTAACTTTATATTGTTTTGAGAAGTTTAAAAAAAAGTCTCCACTAATTGTTATATATTCAATAGTAGCCTTTATTAGAGTTAGAGCAGTAAAATAGTACAGCCTTCCAGCACTATATGTTTCTACTACAAAACTCCATTGCCCGACACATTTTCCCAAGAAAACAAAATAAAGTTGACTTATTTATAAAACAAAAAAGCATAAATAAAACTGTGGCCTCTTGCCAAAAAAGGGTGTCTCTTTGCCACAAAAAGAAAAGATCTTTCTTTGGCGTGGCTGTTTAAATATGAAATCTTAGCTATATTTTGCCATGTAAAGAAATAAAAAATGTAACAAATGCAAGTTGATAATCAAGAATGTCATCAGAATTAAGACTCCTTGAGTTGGGTGGAGGCGGGGGTGCGAGGGTGGAGGGACTGGTCCCAGGAAAATTACTATAAGGTTGCAGCCTATAGTGCATAACTAATCCTTCTGTCATGGTGAATAAACAGAAACTGCAAGGAGATTGCTTTTAATTAAATGCCAAATAAGCTTATCCTTCAACAACACTTTGTTAGGCTCGCATTCTACAAGGTGGCAGATTCTGTCAAAAATATCCCAATATATATGATATGAACAGAAAAAAATAGAATGCTATTGATTGACAATGACCTTGTTTAAATAATCTGTAAATATGACTGTAAAGGACTATTATAGCATGGGAGCAACTTAATACAAGGATTGACCTCTGAAAACTGAATGTTCTTTTAAATTATGGAGCTAACTGACAATCTTTGCTTGCTGACAAGAAATATTAATATAACTATTAATAATTTGTTTTACTGATGAAATTTTAAATGGAATGTATGACCTTATAAATGATATTCTTTATTCCAGATATGTTTATTATCCCAAAATTACAATGGCTAGAAGTGCACATTTACAGTTTGTTAATATGCTTTCAGAAATCTTTACCATAGGCAGGTGGTTTTTAATCTCTGAGCAGCTCAATATGCAATCTTTTCTTCTATCATCTTGGAATGACAATGCCAAATGCAAGGAAAATAATATTCTGTCTATATTTTAAATACAGCAGGCATTAGAATTCCAGAGAGATTTTCAACTAGTTAAATCACTGCCACTTTAGATTAGAATTGTGTATGAATCAGTCACTGTAAATAATGCACTGCTTTACATTTTGAAAGTGTTATTTCATTACACTCGTGGGCAAAAATATCTCCAATGCCCAGAAGTTAAGCTACTTGGATTTTTCATGTAATAGTACATCTATACTGTAAATCAATATATATGACAAACATTCCTTAGTATAGTACATAATATTGGAATGCCTCCAGAAAGTTCAGTGGAATTACTCAGACAGTAATGTCTGAAGCTGATTCTCAATTCTATAGCAAAAAACAAGTTGCCACAAGGAAAGTTGACACTGATTTGGAAACAAAAGCCACCCATAATTTTGGCCTGAGAATTGGAAATCTCCAGATAATGTTAAACTTTATTTTCTCTTGAAACATCTGGGCATGGATTTCTGCCCAGATAAGCCTTAACAAAAGCATTCTAAGATTCCTTGCTCTATTTTCTGCAACAAGTAGAAGATGGGGAGAAATCTCAAAATTATCAACATAGCCCATAAAGGAACAACACCATCCCTGTAGAGAATCCACATCTCAACTTCTTTATTAAATGTCAATGTATTTTTTTTTAAAGAATGATTATTATACATGCATCCTATACATGTTGAAGTACAGGTACTGGCATTTTATTCATAGGCAGTTTTCTGGCCCATAAAATATTGGATTTTCTTCTCCTACATTCAGTTCAAATGGCACCTTTTGTGGTAGCAACTAATTCTATACATAATTGTATGCTTCTAAGCCAAATTCCAATATTCAGTTGAATGTATAAAAAATAGTCTGAATAATTTTTCAGTGGAAAATAATCCAGATATCAAATCTATTGGACATGTTAACCTGAAGCAAACTTGTTGAGAAGTAAGTCTTTAGTGAGGTAAATGCCTAGATAGGCTTTTGCTTGGGAACTCTTAAAGAGCTCATGTAATTAGAAATCAGAATCACTGTCAATTAGTTCTAATTGAATTAGTAAACTTATTTCAGATTCCACAGCAAAGGATTTTGTCTTGAGTTATATTAAGGTGACCAATCGTCCTCCTTTAGGGAGGACAGTCCTTCTTTTGTACTCATTTAAATAATAATTAATAGGCATATAAGCATAATTACAATATAAAATGTTATTGTTACAAATGTTTTTATTATGCATTTATCATATTATAGTGTATTCTGTATTGTTGCAATGAATAAAGTGTTTTATTTACGATATTTTTTCTTCAATTTATTTGTGTCCTCTTTCTCATTGTAAAAAAGTTGGTCACCTTAGTTATATACCTGTATTACAGGAATCAAAGCACAGGGCAGCTAGATTAATTTTATGCACACCGGGTGTTCTCACTATGGCTCTGTCTAAATGTGTCGGGACTGCAACTCCTAGAAATTCAATCCTAACAGATCTGGAAAGCCATTGGTTGAACATAGCTGTTGTATGTTTCTGGGCAGTTATAGATGTCAGATCAATGGCTATTAAGGTGATGGCAGTGTGACTGCCACTGAAGGCCAACTCTGGGCAGATAGTGGGCTTTCCCGTGTAGTTGGTTGGCTAGGTTTTAGAACAGTCTGCTGTAGTATTTGGACCAAGGGTACAATCCAGCAGGACACATGCTATGTTTTCCTTTGGATTTTGGACACCTACATAGGACCCAACCTGATACAATAAAAAATATTTCAAAGGAAACATACATAGAGGTGCAGTGAAGTCCTAATAAGATTTGTTCATAAGGAAGTCTCATGGTATTCCCAGATAAGCATATACCAAATTGCTACTTGGTCTCTATTTCTGGCAGGGATTCAAATAGAAATTTGCATACAGCAACACTGAAATAAATGACTAGAAAATAAATGACTGTGTATAGCATTGTTTAAAATTGTAAATAGATAAACAATTTAAAACAGGCTTTCCTGATATCTTATTTATAAAACTGAAAATGATGTCACAATAGATTCATATTAGTTAGGAAATCCTCCACTGTATGGGAATGCTTCAAAAAAAAGGGTTTTGTTGCCTTAAAATAACAAATAAAATAAACACATATTTTTTTCTCAGTTTACATAGAACGTCATTTCCCCAAATTAGCAGTTACAGCTCCAAAACACCATAGTGCCAAAATTATTTCAAGAAATATGTTCAGCTAACCTTTGGGTTGGCACCTTATCCTGGCTATTCTCTGTCTTAAGATGTAGAAAGCTGCAAAACAAATTTCCATAAAAAGCAATTCAAACTGTTTTTAAAAATTATTTCTGAAAGGAGAGTGAACTTGGATGGGATTTATCAATTTGCTACATTCCTGCAGACTTACACACACGTTCAATTTTTTTTCTGAAACAAAAAAATAAACAAACTGAGACACATGTAAAAAGAGAATACCTTATATGTCACTAACTTACTATCAGGGTTTGCAATGAGATACATTGTGTATAAAAGTTAATAAAAAGAAATTATGTCATGCTATTCCTCTTTGACCTATTAAACTCCAAAAGTGAAAAAGGCTCCCTAATCTCACCATGCAATATATTATGGTAAAACAGTCTATTCCAACATCCAGTACAAATGCAATTCAAATATTCAAAATAATTTTTCTTTTAAAGAAACAGTATCCTTTTCTATTCAACCAAAGCATCATTTTTTGGCCCACTTACAAATTTGACAAAAATAATAAAAAACCTTTGGGCATCTAGAGATTTCAAGTGCACAAAAGCTCAAGCCAACAAATTGATTAGTCACTAAGATGCCCTAGTTTCTGCTGCTGAAGATTAACACAGCTATTCCTTTAGGAATTTTAGTAAAATATTTTATCAGTTGTGAGACAATTGATAATTAAAATCATTGCATTTTTAATATATTGAATTACAGCAGCTTATGGGTTGGATTTTTGTTTGTTTGACATTGCTTGTGTGATATGTGAACTTAACCAATATGGTTTGTAAACTATGATTTATGCTTTAGTATTTTTCTTGAACTAGATTATTATGGCTTCGTCAACAATTCATATATTAGCCATAATTAAAAAGCCAATAGTTAAGATGCTTGTCTAGAACTGGGAAGGTCCAGCATCGGTTGATGCTGAGTGGCCCATGAAAATTCACCTTGAGCTCCTAGAGATAAAGTGGGATAAAAATCAAAATAATGTTAGCAGTAATGATAATAAGGCACTCCAAGGACAAGGGAACATGCAACCCAAAGTAGTTTAAAAGGCTGTAATAACTAATTTGCTGCAGCTGTAGTGTTACATGATTTTAACCTTTCAAATCATAAAGTCCCAAAATTGAAATTAAACTGAAATGCTAGAGAAGAAACACAAAAGCAATAGCACTTAGGCTTATAAACTACTCCATAGGGCTTTACAGCTTCTCTAAATTGTTTACAGAGTCAGCATCTTGCCCTCAACAATCTGGTCCTCATTTTACCCACCTCAGAAGGATGGAAGGCTTAGTCAACCTTGAGCCAGTGAGAATTGAACTGCTGGCAGTCGGCAGAATTAGCCTGCAATACTGCATTCTAAACACCATGGCTCGGTAACATTTCAATTTAATTTCAATTTCATTTATTAAAAATAATATAATTCAAGATCTAGGGGAAAAAAAAGAATAAGTTCTGACCTACACCTGCTTAGGCAGAATAGCAAAGCATAGTCCAGTCTTATGTAAACCAGCAACACAGAAAAGGCAGTTTACCTGTTCTCCCTCCCTCTCATGTATGAAGAGACTTCGCCTGCTCCTGTTATTTATTAGTGCATCATGAAAGTAAGACAGAAAAGCAAAATTCCTAACAAGCACAAATCTTGCCACAATGGATACTGTTTCCTTAAAAATGCAATACATGTTCCCTTTGAAGTTTTGCTAAAGTACATTAGACTTTTTCAAAATATCATTAAAGAGGAGGGGAAAAAAGAATAACAGAATCTCATTGTTTTCTATACAAGCACAATAATGCAGTTCTGTATTAGTTCAGCATACAATAATTCAGATTCATAAACTGAAACTTAAATAGTGAAAATAACCTCCTCGTATTGCACTGCTCTTTTTTGTAACGGAAAAGTTCTATACTCTGGAACAGAGCTTGATCACAACCAAAACCTGATTCTCAGAATAAGCTACCTTAAACGAATATACAGAATTGCATTAAAAACGTAATTCTTCTCCCCACCAAAAGAATGTTTTCCCCTTCCATGGTATCTTTTGGCAACATTCAAAAACAAATTCCACGGTTAATAATAAACATGCATTAAAAGGAACATTAATATTTAGAAAGGGCAGAATTTAGCAAGTAGTTTTAGCCACAAAGCATAACAAAGAAACAGTATTTTCTCAAGCATTGTTTTTTTTTCTGCAGCTGTAGCAAGAAGGCAGAAGCATGCAAAGGGTTAGGTTTCCTGGACTCTTTACATTTTTTTATGAAGCTCCCTATAAAGTTTGTCTGCATTTCAGTTCAGCAAAGTCAGTTTTCTGGAAGCATTTTCATGATCAAAGGGGTTTGCATGATGTTGGCTTAAAAAGTAAGTTTAGGAACAGAAGTGGAAGATGAGCATTCTTTGAAGCTGAAAGAAAGCTTTCTGACTGTGGCAAACTACTTGCAGTCCTGCAATATTATTGACTTATACTTCTGGGCTGGCAATTAAGTCCTTATAATCTGATCACAGGTATAGTCCTCGTTTATCATTCACAACACAAGCCAGCAAATCACACATTAAGTGTGATATCACGTAACTGTGACTTGCAACATTCTGCTAGCTTCCCCATTGAACTTGCTTATTGAAAGCTGGCTGTGAAGGCTGCAGATGGTGATCAAGTGATTCTACATGCATACTGGTTGCCCAACATCTAAGTCATGATCACTGTAATGGCCACAAGTCTGAGAATCAGTTTTCCTTTAAGCAACATCATAATTTCAAATGGTCACTGAATAAGTGGTTGGTAAAGCAAGGACCATCTGCAATGTTTGTGGACCTTAAAACATATCTAATGTCCTTAGGATACATTATTAATGTGAAATGTGCTTGAAAAGCCAGGGAGTGCTTTCTGTGCTTTTACTATAAAGTGCATATCATTAACCATGCAATCATAGGCAGATTTGCTCAGAAGGAAGTTTTAACAATTAGATTCACTCATCTTGTTTAGACTTGGTTTGTTAAACTATGGTTTGTTGAATAAGCCACAATTTGCTGAGTAGAGTATATACCAGTGATGGCAAACCTTTTAGAGACAGAGTGCCCAAACTGCAACCCAAAACCCACTTATGCATTGTCGAGTGCCGGATGGGTGTGGCCCATTGGCTGGGTGTGGCCCATTGGGTGGGCGTGGCTGCAGTGGTAACAGCAGACTGGGTGAGACTAAAAAGTTCAATCAATCAATTCCAACTTTGCAAGATCTTTTTTTTCCCACAAGAAGTTGAAATTGACTGATTGATTGAACCCTTTTTTTTTTTTGCACACGGCGGTGGAGGCCTAAAGCGAAAAGGTTTTATAAAACCCAGCTGAAGGCCTAGGACTGGGCTGATGATGCGCGTGCCCACAGACAGGGCTCTGAGTGCCGCCTTTGGCACCTGTGCCATAGGTTCGCCACCACTGGTATATACAACATGTTAAAAGTCAACCACATGGGTTATAAATTGTAATACTTGGATACATGCAACATACCAAGTCAAACCAATCAAACAAATGAATCATATTTGTGCTAGCACACTTTACTTCTTTAAAATTTGCATTTCAATAATATACATGCTTCAACAAATAAATAAACCGTATTCGGACTTGGAATGTCCTATGACTGAAGCCACTTGGTCCTTGTACATTCTTCTCTAAGTGTTTAGCTAGATGTAAAAAAAAAATTTTACCCAAATTTTATCCTGTAGAAATGTCAACATTGTCAATAAATGAATTTTTTTCTAAAAAAGAAAAATATCAATAGAAAAAAAAGCTAAAAAAATTTTAAAATCCAAAAACTAAACTCTGATTGTTTCCTGTACATATTTGCTTTCCACAAATTACTTTAGCCAACTCACAGTTAGCCTTAATCAGACAGAGAATCACACTAAGAGTAGAATTGGTTGATAGACAAGTGTGGAAAATATACTGGAAAGCAATTCAGGATTTTATAACAAAGCAAGCAAAACTACATCCTAAGATAACTCTTCATAGGCTCTCGTACCTTGTACCCCTCCTATGAAGAGTTATCATAGGATGTAGTTTTGCTACATGGTGACACAGTGATTAGAATGCAGTATTGCAGACTAACTCTGCCCACTGCCAGAAGTTTGATTCTCACCGGCTTAAAGTTGACTCAGAATTCTATCCTTCCAACGTTGGTAAAATGAGGACCCAGATAGTTGGGAGCAATATGCTGACTTTATAAACAGCTTAGAGAGGACTGTAAAGCACTATGAAGCAGCATATAAGTCTAAGTCCTATTGCTATTTGACCCCAATTTTTTGTAACCTTCTTGCTTATCTGAATGGAGTTATACCTTTAAAAGTATCAAACTGAATAATCCGTCATGCATCATAAAAGCCAAATCCTGCCAATGTACTTTATTTTTTTTCATCCTGTGCCGGTTTTAGGAATTGTGAGAACATCCTTCTCTAAAGAGTTTTCAATATCCTTTCAAGCCAATCAATGATCTTTGACCAAGTTAACAGACATCATAGAAATCTTCGTACACATTCATAGATACAAACTTGCTGCAAAAATAAATAATCTTCCTGTAGCTGAGTAACCCAGAAGGTAAGGTTTGAAAGTTTGAAAAACACTCCCAGCCACAAAAAAGACTTTTCTAGAGGTTATAATCACAGCCAACTACAAAGAACAGATGATAATCATCTTTAGATAAATTAGCCCCCAAACATAACTTAGATATTGTTCTCAGCCCCTTTGATCTTTCTGAAGTAATTTAAACAAAGCTAACTTGTGTTTTAAAATAAGTGATTATGCATTTTTAAATTCCTAAATCTGAAGACTATTATGCTGAAGTTTTAAAAGGAAGCATTTTACACCTCTGTTATTGCTGTACTTTCAGAGTAGAGAAGATTGCATGTAACACAGCTTAACATTTGTTTGAGATGGTATACATAAAAGGGCTGCAATCAGGTTTAATAAGAATATGTTAAGTAATACATCAAAAGCAAATATTTGGTCTATGGATTATGGAATAAAGACTGGTGGAGGCCATTTACTTGGGACATGTTCAACTTAT